ATTTATTATACGTTTGAGTGTTTTCTGACTTTTATTCTAAATGGGGTATACAGGCTGGATGACATATTTTCGACCCTTAACGAAAGATAATGAAATGAATTATGGGGTTGAATGTTACAAAATATCGAATTTCTTAGTAGTTAATTTTAACGACTTTTTTTCTTTAAATGGCTTGGTTCTGTTGGCCTTAAGGTTATTTCTGAAAGATGATAAGGTTCCCTTTTCATACGAAAACACATGTGTTTTGGTATCTAAAATTCAACTAAAAATATAATAAATCCAACTTATTACATAACCTTTCTACCCAACTAACTAACTAACTAACTGACAACTAAAACTAACCTAACCAGACCGAACCTTACCTAACCTTTCTACCCAATCTAACCTTGAAATACCCTTAATACTTACATTTTGGTAGGAAATGAATAATTATAGTTTATCACAATATTTATGAAAAATCGTTTTAATTTATAGTATTTCACTTTTAAATCGATAGCAACACGTTTATATAGTCTTAATAAGGGGTCAGCTATATATTTATATAGTGTGTCACAATACTAGACTTTACCCAATCCGCCATAATACTAGATATATCGCTATAGAGAATAAACTTCCTTTCCCTACTAAAAATTTACATGTAGAATGGAAAATTGTCCTTATAAACGAATCAGTGTTCCAAAGAGTGATTCAGTTATGTTTCATAATTAAATGGCAATATTTTATATCTATGATTGTTTTATAAATTTTATTGTTTACTAGCTTTATTGTTGAATTTTTCCAAATATGATTTCAGGGCTACAAAAAACCCAGATGTTACATCGCTACCCAAGGACCGAAGAACAATACATTGGCAGACTTTTGGAGGATGATTTGGCAAGAGAAAGTTAAGAATATCGTAATGTTGGCGAATGTTTACGAAAATGGAAAGGTGATTCTTGAACCTAAATGGTCTGACAGTGCCTACTCATAGCTCAAAATCATGATTTCATACAGTACTTTATTTTTGGATTACTGAATGCTAATTTCATATTTCATTGACTTTCAGAAAAAAGTGGAAAAATACTGGCCCGATATAAACGAAGATTTGAAATTTGGTATCATCAGAGTTCAACACGTTTCAACAGACACCTTCGCAAACTTCGATATCAGAATATTCAGTATTCACTGTAATAATGAAGAAAGGAAGGTACGTTTCATTTCGATAAACCATTGTCATCCATAATAGGTGATATCCGTGGAACTTGTGGAAGAAATAATACTGACACAATCATTTTCGATACAGATTGAGCAACTACATTACACCACATGGCCAGACCACGGAGTTCCTCTGTATTCTCAGAGTTTGGTACCTTTTCTACGAAGAGTTCTCAAAATTCCGTATAATCCTCAGTCGCCTATTGTTGTACATTGTAGGTGAGTCAAAAATGTACTATCACAGTTTTTTTAAATCACTTACGTTGTATTGTGCAGTGAAATGAATGATCTAAACCTAGATGAAGCTATTTGTTATTATAACCTCATCTTCAAAAATTTTCCACAATCAACTTATCGTAAAAGTTAAATGCTACGAAGGAATGAAGGTACTGATTAGCTCTGCAATGTGGTTGAGAAAATTCGACTGTTTTTCTAGTAAATATGAGAATTATTCTTCGCACTTCAAGAGTTGGTTAACGGAAAAACAGATTTCAACAGATTTTTTTTAACTTCGATAACTCTAGCAAGTCATGTGTAACGATATTCGGCACTTGCTTAGCTGTCACCATCTGAAACGATACGCGACTTAACTGTTAGTAAGAGATTTGAGCCGGTTCTAAGCCTCCCTCCACCATTTTGACGTCATTGATGACATGTAGTGTAATTGGAGTGACCTTCAACGACATGTCTGGTGCACAGTTTTGACCTTGAACGATATGTCCGGTGCATAGCTGAAAATGTATTCATAGGAATAATTTCTTTGAGACATTGGGGGTATGTGTTTGACGTCATAACAATTGTTTGGCCTTGGGCGAGGCGTACGGTAATGTAGATTATCCATTAAGATGGATTATGTGAGACAGTATGGCTGAGGTATTCAGCTATAGTATACGGTTCTATATTCAGTAGAATCTTATGAATTCCCTTTTTCAATTCTCCAAGTTTATTCATTTGATTGATGCTGGTGTGGAGTTTATTGAACATTTTCATGCTTTGACAGAAAGAGCTCCTTTTTGTAACAGTTGGGTATACATAATCAAAATTTTTAGTGTTATATACATTTGATGTTCCTAAAAAGGAATAATAAGAGTTTCGGTACATAGACTCCTATAAGTGTGAGTATTTTAATACTACTGGATTTGCCTCTACATGATTCTCTTGAGTTCAGTTTAAGCATAGTTCATAAGGCTCTTTTTTGTACAATAAAAATTTGCTACCTCCTTGAAAAATAATCCCATACCTACAAACAGATTCAAAATTTGAATGATAGACCATTCGGATTACATCTGTGTCAACATACTGATCAATAACTCGCATTCAATACAACACTTAGTTTAACTTTTGACAAACATTTTGAATATGACTGTTGAAATTCAGTGTGCTGCTATGTGCAGTCCTAAGAATTTGCTCTCATTTTCTATTTTAAGTGAAATATTCATCAGCCGAACTTCTTGAGGTAAGTCAAGTCCTGCATGGGTTGTTTCAAACATTACAGTTTTGGTCTTATTGTCATTCAATATAAGTTTGTTTCCTGAACCACTTATCTGCCTTACAGAGGCTTTCTTCAGTTATGGATATCAGACCGGGATAGTCTACTGAATTGATCAGCAAGTTTGTGTCATCCGCATGATTTGTTATTTTCCTATTTTCCCTACAAATGATAAACATCATTGGGCCAATTATACTACCTTGTGGTACCCCAGTATCAATTAATTTCATGTCTGATTCAGCTTTGATTCCTTCTTTGTTAATTAACACTATTTGTTTTCTACCTGACATATAAAATTCATGCCATTTCAACGAAGTATGCCGTATGATTCCAGCTTTTGTAGAAGAACTGTGTGGTTCAAACAATCAAAAGCATTTGACAGGTCTAGAAACAATCACAATGCCACCTGCTACTAGTTAATTTTTTCCTTTACAGTGCTGGAGTCGGACGTACTGGTACAATAATATTGAGCGATATATGCCTGCGGATGGCAGCAGGAGAAGGTTGCATAGACTTCCTAGCTCACCTGGAAAATATAAGGAACCAGCGAGCTAATTTGGTCGACAACGTCGAGCAATACAAGCTGGCGCATCTCGTTGTTGTAGAATGTCTATTCGCCATGCACACGGCTGTACCTTGTAACGAAGACATGCCGAACACTGTCGACGAGATTTTGAAAAGTGGTGGCATTGAAACCCAGATGAAGTACATCATAGAAACGCAGTGGCAGGATTTCGCCATGGAAACCATGTTGGAACACGAGCAAACTTTTCCTATTTATCCAGAGAAGAATAGATTCGAAAATATCATTCCAAGTAAGTAGTAGCATAACCTCCTTGGCAGGTATCTGCCAGATCCTACATTTTGATTCGGATTGAATTACTTGAAGTCCCCATAGCCCGTTTTTCATTTCCCATAATGCTATTTTTCTTCCAGGGCACTACCGTGTTTTTCTAACGTGTTATCCAGTCGACGACGCGTCATCGAGTTATATCAACGCCGTCTTAGTTGACGGTTTCAGAAACCCAGGACGATATATATCCACCCAACAGCCTATGCCGAATACGCTTGGAGATTTTTGGAGGCTAGTAGTCGAGAGATCGTGTGGCACTATTATATCTCTCAATTCTCTCGATTTCAAGGACCAGGTACAGGAAAATTACAATATTGGGAATATTCGTTAACAAGCAATATCACCGGCTTTTTTGCTGGGCGTTTCAATAGTCAATGAAATCAAAGTTCAACGATTTTAAGGGTGCATTCAAATTATAATCTGAAAATGTATGTTATAATAGTATAGAATTCGATTTATGATTTTGCAGACGGTATGTAAGTTTTATCCCAATAAAAATGAGGAGCTGAATCCACTGGATATTATTACAGTACAACATGTGAAAACCAAAGGACTGGAATACTATAAAGTAATCACGGTGCAGGTACATTCAAACATGGTGAGTTTTTTGGCAGTAAATTACAGTTGATGATGAAAAAAGTTACACTGCTGCTTGGTTTTTCGACTTCGGTTCCCTCTTCCAGATATCTATTTTTCGTTTCCAAACTAATCATTTCTCATTTATTTTTCAGACAAATCCGTTCAATGTCGACATCATAGAAATTAACAACTGGGCATCTAACGCTTTGTGCCCCAACAGTATAGAAGAGTTCTTATCTTTCATAGATGCTGCTGAGGCTATATCAAGAAAAAGTGAACGTGTCATTGTAACATGCTAGTAAGTCACCTTGCCGCAAAAAGTAGGACATCCACTGATTACAGAATGCTAAAATTTCAAACATTAACGTTAAGATAAGAAATTAAAGTGAAGACATGATGTTTTTCTGAAGTAGAAAAAGATGAAATAATGTTTGAATGTTTGTAGACAGAAAATATAAAAAACGGTTTGGTTCAGTACGAAATTGAAGAGCAAAATCATAGAAGGGTAATGAATTTAGAGGTTGAAAATTAATCGTTGGAAATATATTAATAAGTTACAAAAATATGGCATTCGTTTTCAATACTGTAGGTACTTGATTTTCGCAAGGAAAAGTTTCGATTCCTGATAAATTACCATTTTCATACTCTGAAACTTCATCCCCATATTCCTGATCCGATGCAGTGTCGCTATCCTCATCATGTAAATCAATAATCAGATCATCCACGATGATATCTATCGTGGGTTCATTTGACATGAAATCGTTCTCAATTTTCTTTGCTCGTTCACAAACGAGATTTCCATTGATCAAAATAAACTGTTGAAAAAGCCTTCGTTATGTTGCATGATACCGTTGAAATTGGAAGTAACACTTTTATTTGACACATCTTTTAGTCCAGCCCACGTCAACTGAATTGGATTCAAATCCGGGTGGTATGGCGGTAATCGTACAACGTTGCGATTTGTTGCTAGAAAGAGCTGATCTATTTCATACCGCTTGAATTTTGGCTTATGGTAGTTTATAAGCGATTATAATTCAGGTTTCATCATGTTTGTTATGGAAATTAGCATCATCCATCACAATTTTGGAATTGTTGATGCATCTATTTTCGTTTGGAGTTGAATTTTTTTTTCTCACTATTTTCTATTTTTTTCATCTCCGATTTGTCTTTTCGTAGAGTTCACACGCAAATGTGGCCTCAGCTACTCGTTTTTGAACATTTATTCACAATTCCTGTGCCTCGTCCACTGAGAGCCTCGTTTTTCAGTTTATTGTTCGAATGCATTTTCAAAGTCAACGAATAACCCACATTTCTCCACACAGAATAATTCCTCCATATACTGTACTAACACTATGTTCTCTACTCGAGTTCCTCGATGTTGATGAGCTTTCGCTCCACTCTTCCAGCTGATAAACTGTGTGTCCAATATTCTGTGGCAAGTTGTACAAATGTATGTTGTTTCATTTATTGACAAGCTGATTCTTATTCGCTTTCAGTGACGGGGCAACTGCTTCTGGATTGTACTTGGCGATGACATTTCTGATAGAGAAAATGAAACTTGAGCAAGACTGTGATGTTTGCCTGGCTGTGAGGACCATTCGACATAGTAGACAGGAATTTGTCACTACAGAGGTAAATAATGACACAGCCGATATTATTAAGATTGTTTTTAGTAGTTATTTGAAATTTGGCCAGTACCAACAAGTACAAAGTTATGATAACACCAGAAGAGAAAGAGAAACTTTGGAAAATAGCAGTAATTTGTGTGAAAATAATATTGCAATGATTCAGGAGCAGTCAAATATTTTTTTGGGATGAAATTTGCTGCTACAACGACTATTGAAAAATCTTTTTGCCTCACAATTTCTATTGTTGAAACAAATTAGGGAGGTTCAAACCAAATCAAACATATTTTTTTCAATTGCACCCCAATATTTCAAATGACTGAATGCATGCATAAACGTAACTTGTATATTTTACTCAAATCACTGGAGTCCAAATATTTGATGTAACTGTATTGTTTATTATTGAGTTATCAGGGCAAAACATTGATGCCAATGTTTCGTGTAATTTTGGAGATGAAGAGCAGAATATATAATACATTTTGGATATATTCTCTAGTCTCTCACATCCAAATAGTCCTTTTATTAATTTTTCTTTTTCAGGAGCAGTACAAATTCCTGTACGAGGCATCAGTTACTTTCATAACTGGATTTCAATCGTACTCCAATTTCACCTGATGACTGAAACTTTTATAACGTAATAATGTTTATAATGAAGTATATTCAAGAAATTGTTCATAAAAGTATTTTAATTGAGTGAAATAAACTAAGTAATGAAAATCAATTGCTATTGAAACTAATCTTGATGCAAGGAGTATACCATTGGATGCTTAAAGAATTTCCTCTTACATTCCACGATATCTTTTTCAAACATATATTACCATCTAACATACAAACCATATCCAAATTCCTATTTGCATCCATTATAAAGCTGTAGTGGGTCCGACTCAGATCCACTTCAGTGTGGGCTCCACCTGTAGTAGCAACATGATTATGGAGCACCTGGCTGGATAGCCCTGGCAGCTGAAGCCATTAATGAAAAATAAGAAGAAGATTCAGTGAAATCATGTGTTGATCAGTGTCATCTGTCAATCAGTGTCACGTATCATGTGTCACATGCGTTAAAATAATCAGTCAAATCGAATGTAATTCAAGATATCTTGATTCCCTTGTTATTTAACGAGCCCTTCCATTTGCAGAGGATCTCAAAATATTCCTCATGATGAAGCCCCAAATCTCCAGACCGATCTTAAAAGTACTTTGAACTGGTGTCATGCAAAATTATATGGTCCTGAATACTGATGAATGCCATATTATGAGGTTTTATAAATTTAAAACTCTCATCCTCCATGTCTCTGATTATACAATGAACATGATAACTTTTGAAACAGTTTCTAACTTGGAAGGTCTGGGAGTTATCTAGGCATTGCTCAAATTTTTCATAATCATATCTCTCCAAATCGTGAATACAGGTCTATAGATCTTGGGGTTCTTAAAAAGGTCGACATCAGACTTTGCCAATACATCCACACCAAGAACTTTATGGTGTTCACTGGTTGGGCCACATTGAGTATTGCTCAGTAATTTGGGATTCCTATTACAATGTATGTATTCATAATACTTCATAATTCTTTTATCCACTTTTTTTGATAGCAGAAAATCTACGAACACACAAAAAACTCTCATGCCTCTCACCAACAAACAAACATGCTATACAGCTTTGAGTGTGCACATATGTTCGAGACAAGTGTAACAACATAAAAAATAAAACAATCGCTAATTGAATGTGCGTAGCCGGCAAAATTTGAACATTCATCTTATTTTTTATACATACCTCGTACTTTCAGGCTATCAACAAACAGAGCAAATGCTCTGGTTATCGAAAAGTGCCTCGAGAGAGAGCATTTCAGTTCTGGTGGGGAAAAAGTGGTTTCAATAGATTAATTTCATGTCAAGGTTTTGAATTCTACTTATCGAATAATATCTAACGAAATCTAAAGAAATGAACTTTAGACGTTCAAGCCAGTCAGGAATATCCTACACAGTAGGTTGAATATACTGACGCCTATCAGAAGACAACTACTCCCCTGGCTAATACCACGAAATGCGTTGGATATCAGACAAGCGTCAGTGCAGGAATCTTCACAGAAAATTTCCTGCATATGCAATTGGCAATACAACTGAAAGAGTCAACCTTCAATTTTGAAACGGGCACACTTGCAGACCGGTTTCGGGCTCATTAGCCACTCATTAGTTCCAAAATTGAAGGTCGACTCTTTCAGTTGTATTGCCAATTGCATATGCAGGAAATTTTCTGTGAAGATTCCTGCAGTGACGCCTGTCGGATATAATCTAACACCCTTCGTGGTATTAGCCAAGGAAGTAGTTGTTTTCTGATAGGCGTCAGTCCATTCAATCTACTGTGTAGGTATATCCGAGACTGGCTTGAACGTTTAAGGTTCATTTCTTTAGATTTGTTTACTGCCAGTCTTTAAGCATAGCACACTGACTAATAAGAAAGTTATATCTAATGGTAATTGAGCACAGCCACTTCTGGTTGAAAATGAAAAAAAAAAAACGTTTACTTTTATTATCAACTAGTGTATTATATACGAAAGTAATTACAAATTGGAAAATTAACATTACAGTATCTTAATTTCACTAGGCTACAGATTGACAAAATGAAGTCATGACAAAAGCACAAGTGAAGTCCATACTAATAAAACGACTAATAACTCCAACCGTTATCAAATATTTAGTACTATTCAAAGAAATCTCAACACTTTTTTTCTTCAGTTTTTTGAAATTTTATATATTTTTTTAGTTTTTCATATTAATAGGGGCTTAGATATTTCCACACTGACGTAAAGTTTTTCGTCTCTATCCGTTCACATCCTAAACGCTAATATTAAAGTATATCCTAACCTAATAAATGAGCGCTATACAAGTCCGATGCTAGAGGCATAAAACAGCAAAAAGGTGATGCACAAATTCAAAAACGGAATCCAGTCGAAGAGGTCGTCCATCCAGCAGGAGAGCTGAAAAAGTCAAAGCTACCGCTTCTCGCGAAAAAAGTAAAACCCTTTTTTGGAACTAGTGGTTGAAATTGTTCCTCCAAGTTGTTCCTCCCGCATGGAGAACCACTTCGAAACAGCAACCGCGCTATTTCAGGTCGCAGAGCCAGATGTAGGCTCCAGAGATGTTTTCAAGAACTTTCTAAAGCAAGGCATTAACTCTACTAACCAGATAAGATAACCTAAATATAATTGTGAACGAATTGAGACGTCCGAGGCTCGAGCTGGGAGTGAACTATTCGATGGTGTACAGCATGCAGACGTTGCCGCTCGCTAGAGACTTATTCACCAAGGGTGAAGTTGGCGACAGCATAGCAAAGCCGAGGAACATGAATGTCCGTACCAAAACCGGACGATCCGGACGGTTGGCGGCAAACACCTGCGAAAAAATTAGAATGTTTATTATATTTCACTAAAAAAAAATACAAATGTTACACGAGAAACGGGTCCAAATGGCAATGTCCTGAGGAGAATGGGAATAAGGAAGTCAAGAAAGGAAAGTGAATAAGAACGGAAAGAGAGAGATGAGCTGAAGAGAGGGACAGGAGAGAGAAAAAAGAGACGGGGAAAAAAGGAGCGACTAGAGAGAAAAAGAGCGAGGAGAGAGAAAGAGAAAAGAGGTTGAGGAGAGGGGAGGGAGGGGAGAGAAAAGAAAAAAGAAGAGAAAAGAAAGAAGGAGAGAAAAGAAAGAAGGAGAGAAAAGAAAGAAGGAGAGAAAAGAAAGAGGGAGAGAAAAGAAAGGAGAGAAAAGAGAAGAAATAGAAGAGAGAAAAGAGAAGAGATAGAAGAGAGAAAAGACAACGAGGAGAAAAAAGAGCCAGAGAGAGAAGAATGAAGGGAGAGAAAGAGGTGAGAAAAGAAAGAATGAGGATAGAGAGAGAAAGAGAGAAGGAAGATAAGAGACAAAGAGAGAAATGTTGGAGAGAAAAAGAGAGGAGAGATAAACAAGCGGAGAGAAAAATAGGAGAGCGATGATAAAGAGAATCGAGTCGAAAATAAACGAGAGAATAAAGAGAATTAAAAGAACCTAGAGGGAAAAAGTAAAAAATTAGGAATAATAGGCATATAAGTGGCAAAGAAGTGAGGAGGGAATATACTTAGACATCAGAGTGGAAATTAGAGAAAGGAAAATAGAATATGGACAGAGTGAAAGGTAGAGAATGAGGAGAGCAGGGAATATGGATGGTAAAGAACCTAAAGTACAGAAAGAGCAGAGGCACAGAGTGTGGGAAGTAGATACATTTGAGGAGCCAGAATGGAACAGATAGAAGATCAAAGAGAGAGGGGTCAATATTCATAACAAAAAGCTAGAAAAGGAGAGTGTTAAGAAGGGCAAATAGAGAAGAAAAGAAGAGGTCAAAAGAAAAGGTGAAGAGAAGTGGGAAAAAAACAAACTAAGAACAGCAAAGAATTATGGAAACATCTAGTTATGAGACAGTAACGCAGAGAAAGAAATTGGAAAAATGGAGCAGTGCATAAAGTGTGGTAAAAAAGTTAAAAGGTTTGGCTGAGGTTTTTATTTTTATAAAGTAATGAAATATTGGTTATGAATAATCATTATAAAAATTTCATCAAGTACAATAATTTTGATTTTCATTATCTAGTAATTTCTTCAATTGTGTAAAATCCAGTTTGACAATTTTCACTTTTTGATATTTTGTAAACTAGATTATCTACGGAAACAATGGTATGAACATGCCTTTATAAAAAAAAATAGTAATCTGATAAATAAGGAAAATTACAAAATATAGTTTATTAAAACGAATACACAGATTATCAACCTATATTAATGTAATGGTAATCACCATAGCACACGCTTTGCAAATTATCAAGATTTCTAGGAAGGTCTGAAAATGTAGTGTCCCTGTTTTCACTGTTCTATAGAACTATAGTTGAAGGGTGCAAATATCATGGGTAATTCCATGGATCATGGATTTGAACTGGCCGATCCATATCAAATGCTAATAGGATTTATTTTGATTTTCACTATAAAAGGTTTACAAAACCACGAAAGTTGTTTTCCAAATCCTGCTTGAGAAACCTTTTGCATAGAAAAATATGTTTCACTGTTTTGTAAACCTCTCATAGTGAAAATCAAAATAATGGCAGAAATAACAGCAGAAAGTAATGTAAATTCTAACTGTGTGTATCAGTATCAACATCAAATGAGAAGCCATTAAGCATGATCTGCTTCATTTCTACAGATTTTCATTGAGTACAGAGACCAAAACTAAGGATTTTTAAAATATTTCAACAATACTCACGACAACAACGTGCTCGCACATCAACTTTTCCTCAGCAGCCTCCAGCAGAGCGACGAAAGCCTCGCGAGAGCCCTCAGGCAGCACGCTATGGGGCACTGCGACATAGAGGGTCTTCCCTCTTAGCACGGCGTCCCAAGCCTGTCGTCCAGTGTGGAAAGAGAGCCGCGAAGGCGGCGAACCCCTGGCATCCCCAGGGGCATCAGGACCACCACAGAGGCCCGGCGCCCAGAGACATGTTGTAGCAATCGGCCTCGGAAGAGCTGGAGGCGGACCGTTTACTACTCAACAACGAACTCCTGCAGAAAAAGAACAGAATATTAAAGCTACAGTTCACCTACAATGATCCACAATATGGCTAAACAAATATTGTTTCACTTAGTTTAAGAAAAAAAAATACAAATGTTGAAGAAGAAACGGGTAAAATTGCAATGTCTTGAGGAGAATCGTAATAAGCGAGTCAAGAAAGAGAAAATGAGACGGGGAAAAAAGAGCGAGGAATGAGAGAAGCGAGGAGAGAAAAGAGAGAGAGAGAGAAGAGAGAGAGAAAAGAGAGAGAGAGAGAAAAGAGAGCGAGGAGCGAGAGAAAAGAGCGAGGAGCGAGAGAAAATATAGGGAGGGGCGAGAGAAACGAGACAGAGGAGCGAGAGAAAAGAGAGCGAGGAGCGAGAGAAAAGAGAGCGAGGAGCGAGAGAAAATAGAGCGGGGAGCGAGAGAAAATAGAGCGAGAAGCGAGAGGAAAGAGAGCGAGGCGCGAGAGAAAATAGAGCGAGGAGCGAGAGGAAAGAGAGAGAGGAGCGAGAGAAAAGAGAGCGAGGAGCGAGAGAGAGGCGAGAGAAAAGAGAGCGAGGAGCGAAAGAAAAGAGAGCGAGGAGGGAGAGAAAAGAGAGCGATGAGCGAGAGATAAGATAGGGAGGAGCGAGAGATAAGATAGGGAGGAGCGAGAGATAAGATAGGGAGGAGCGAGAGATAAGAGAGCGAGGAGCGAGAGAGAGGTGCGAGAGAAAAGAGAGCGAGGAGCGAGAGAGAAGCGAGAGAAAAGAGAGCGAGAGAAAAGAGAGCGAGGAGCGAGAGGAAAGAGAGCGAGGAGCGAGAGAAAAGATAGAGAGGAGCGAGAGAAAAGATAGAGAGGGGCGAGAGAAAAGAGAGCGAGGAGCCAGAGAAAAGAGCGAGGAGTCAGAGAAAAGAGCGAGGAGTCAGAGAAAAGAGAGGGATAGGGGGAAGAGGAAATTTAGAGAGTCTTCATATGCCTGGGATCTTTCAGAGAAGATTTTTGAAAATTGAATATGTAAGTGAATTTCCAAACTGCTCGCACACTTCAACAAATGTTGGGCAACCTGAAAGACGAAAAAAAAGTTTGGAATTCACAAAATAAGCTGTGAGGGATTGCGTTAAAAAGTATATTGGTCAAACTTAGTAGACTATAACTGCTCGCTCCAGGGAACATATTTCACATAGGGGCCGTTCAAGTATAACGTAGACATATTTATTAAAATTATTTACCCACCCATCCCCCTTGTCAGCAAAAGGGGGATGCCCACCCCCCTCTTAAGCTTACGTTAACATTGTTATATGCATTTTTCTTTTCTTGTGTTCCGTTTTTTATTGATTCCTGAGAAGCAGTTATTAATCTAGAAATAAGAAAATAGATTCAAGATAGAGGACTTTAACGCACATGATATTCATTTAAATAAACTTCATTGACACATTCACAGTTTATTGACACAGTTGTACAAGGTACAAAAATTGACTGGAAGATTGAGAAATTGCCCTCCATTATTCGAAACCAAGTTACAAGTGTTTGTTTGACTTTTACTGGTGGTAGAAAAAACCAGTTGTTTTTGTATTTATTCATCTTTCAGATCATTATGATATTAGACATGTCAATAATAAAAATAACAACAACTATATAAATATAAATAAATAAACATATACCTATCAAATAAAACAGGCACTATACAAAACACTATAAACGACATACTGATGTCGACAAATTATTATAAAACAACATAATATAATTATATACAATTGAAAGGTTCAACATAAAAAGGAAAAGCAGTCAGAACAAGTTATATCAAGACATCCCTTTGCAGGAACTCATCTAAGCTATAATAACCCCCATTAAAACGTTCGAACAATTTTTCATATAACTTAATTAAACTTTGGCACAAGCAGACAAAGTGAATCAATGGTAATGGGTAACATAAAAATGAACGTGCTTTGCTTTGCTTACAATATGTTGAATCGTTAAATCATATCCAAAGGAAATGATACATTGATGGATTAGACAAGTGAATAGCTCGCGGTAATTCCCCTACTCGGTTCTAAAAGAGTACCTAAACGTAAACAGTGTTAGTGGGAATCCCCAAAAATGTGTTTCGTTTTCAAACATAGACAATGTGTGGGTTGCCATATTTGTAAAAAACTTAATTAACTAGTGCTGACGTAATCACCATCTAGACCCCCCCTGCCCCCCTATGGTGGCTTGAATGGCCCCATTTATGAAATTGTTGAGACCAGTATATGCCAACAAGTTTTTAAATACCTTTGAGAGTTTAGAAGTCGAAAAATGAAGTGGGCAACAAAGGTTCCATTCGTAACAGTCCTTCCTCACACTACTATGCAAGAACAAGTAGAAAACAGATTCAGATTAGGTATGAACCAGGTAGCAAATTAAATCAGGAGCATAACAAAATACTAGGGAGAATAACAAAATACTAGGGAGCATAACAAAATACTAGGGATCAATTTAATGACCCTCATTAGATAAAGTAATGATTCATTCAAATGTGCATAAAAATTATAACATAGCTGTAGCAATTAGTCCTAGTCATCTCCTGATGATGCTAACTTGACTAGCGAAACACGTTTCCAGAGATAAACTCATAATTTAGAAGCACAACAAAGCCAATATATATGTTATTTTCCTTCAATAGATTAATGGTTATTGTTTCAATTGAGATATGATAAGATATATCTAATCTTCATTTATAATCAACATTCTCTAATCACATGTCAGAAATTTCCACTGAATAAAGAAATTTAGATAAATTGTAATGATTTTTTATTCATTAATTTGCATTACTTTTCACTTATAGAACCTCATATGTTTCTACACGTTGTTGAATTTCCATTAAAGAATGTTAAACCGCTAAAAAGTCCATATAGTGGGAATGAAAGGTTTTGGTTTTCTGCTTCTCCATATATATACAAAAAAATGAGAGAATCTTCCAAAGAAAGAAAGCAATTGAAGTTATTCGGAATCGGTTCCTCACATGTGTCCTAAAAAAAACTTCGACTACCCTAGTGACCTTTTATATGCCGAGTCCGAAATCTCTGATCCTAGGGAGTTTTACTTTTATGAATTCAGCCATCGTACAATAAGAGAACAAATCTAATCTGATATACTCCTGTCACAACTATTCTACACGTAAAAAACAGGCAATGTTATTAACTTGTGCGAAAAAATCAATAGCATAGAAGAATTGTTATTTAGTGCCCAAAGTATTCAAATCTCTGCCACAAGACTTACAAAATGAATAAAATTTTCATTATTTTAGAAGAAAACTGAAAATCTTATTGAAAAATACACCATGGAAAGAAGTGAGAAATATAGGTCACAAATGCTCATAATTTTAATTTTCAACTGTTGAAACTTTAAAACTATTGGACTATTTTCTGTAACTTTCATATTTACCTTTAATGATTTTATTCTATAATTCAGGAAGAAGAATCAGGAAGTGGAATTCTCCACTTCCTGATTTATTTACTCTATTTTATCCATTGTATTACTCACTGTACTATTCCAAATGGTGAATAAATATTATTATATTATTAGTAATGTCCAGGCACAAACTGAAAGAAAAAGCCCTTTTGAAACATTGAATTACACGAAATAAAAATACTTTCGGAAAAATTACTTTTATATATGAACATTGAATCATACTTGTTATCCATATTGGTGCTAATGAAATATCGCTTATTCCAAAACATCTGGTGAGTGTTTCACATAAGTGAAACTTTACTTCTCTCATATTGTGTAGCAATCCTGTTAATTATATCTGATTTAATTCCATTAAGAACATTTGAAATAAGTAAGTAAATTTATTCAATTCAGTAATAAGACAAAATACATAGTCGTCTATGACAAAAGGATAAAAAAATAAAGTAAGATAAAATTGAAATAAAACCTAAAATAAAATAAATGGATAAAGATACATGAAATGTAGAGATTATACAGTTCTAATGAAAGTTACGGCTACCTAAGCAGGCTTGTGTTGTAGCCAGCAAACTAAATAATAATAATCGTCTTTATTGTTTTCCAGCTGTAGTTATATACAATATTTAAATAAATTACAGAGCTAGTTGCTGACATAACAAAATGCGAAGTTCAACTCACCACAAGTGCTACTGAGTTGTTCTTCCACTCGACCTCAACACTGTATCTCTCTCAACATGTTTGATGGATAGTGGACCCAATATTGAACCCTGTGGCACACCTGACTTAAGTTTTAAATAGTTTCAATAGATTCCACCCTGGCACACTTTTTGTTCCCTGTTTTTGATGTAACATTCAAGAAGTCTGATAGCACTACCCGATAATCCCGTATAGTTTAAAACGGCAAGAAGTAGATCATAGTTTAGAGTGTCAAAAGCTCGACTAAAATCAATAAGCACAAGTAGAGAACAAATACCCTCATCTGTAGCCCTAATAATGTCGTCCACGATGTGCAGCAGAGCAGTGACGCAGCAATGACCTTTGCGAAACCCAGATTGTACCTCCGGAAGTAGAGAAAACCGAGAGAGATTATTTCTCAGCTGTTTTTCAACTGCTCGTTCAAAAAAAAAGTGGGTAAGACACTAATTGCATGCAGATCCTTATGTTCAGTTGGATTAGTTTTTTGGGCAATACTCTCACCACTGCTCTCCCCCACATCGCTGGAAATACACTATGGGTTAAACAAAAATTCACTATGTGGGTCTAATATTGCACAATATGGGGACAACACATTTTAATTAATTTAATGTTTATATCATCACAACCTTTAGCATTCGATTTTATGATACACATAATTTTATTCACGGATAATTCATTTATTTCCTGGAAGGCAAAAACCGGTTCTACTCGATGATTTTCCTTGTAAATGGTATATCAGAAGAAGCATATCATAATTATTGTGAACAAATTTTTCAACTCTATTTTGAATTTGAGTTTGTTTCTCATGCCTTTCAATGATTCAGGTAGAGTGTTGTAAAGTTTGGGTCCCAGATAGTTTATAAATTTTTGATTATGCGTGAGTCTGCATCGTGGAACATTCATGGTCTCAACTGAACTGTTACGAGTATTGAAAGCATGCTGTACAAATTTGATTGAACAATTAGCAGTCCATAATAAACTCTGAAAAATGTAAGTTTTTCTAACACTGAATATCCCAGTTTCATCAAACAACGACTGGGCACAATACCTCGGATCTTTTTTCATCATGATTCTTATTAATGAATTTTGAACCACTTTCAAATTAATTAGCGACGTCTTAAAGGCACCACCTTATACTATTATACAGTAACGTATTATGGAGTTAGCCAAGGCGTCATACACCATCAGTATCATTTCCCTGTTTAGTATCTTCCTGAGCTGATGAAATTTATATATTAATTTACGTAGTCTGGCTACTGTATAATCAATGTGTGCATCCCACCGAATAGATTGGTCCACTAATACCCCTAGGTATTTTATTGTATCCGTTTTCTGTATAGAAGTACAGCTACAATTGGAAACATTTGCACAAGATGTTTTGTGGATTTTTATGATGTTTGTAGCTGGTTGATCTCTAGTTGTTGGAGCAAATGCAATAAATTTGGTTTTTTTAGCATTGACACTCAATAAATTAGAACTCAACCAGTTGAAAATCGTTTTGATGCCTATTTCAGACCAAGTGTATACTTCTTTCCACGTTTTTCCAACAAAAGTGATAGCTGTGTCATCAGCAAATGAATTTATTTCACTATTGAAATCAGAAAATCTGAAGATATTGTTCATATATATATATTAGAAATAAGATGGGTCCTAATACAGTTCCTTGGAGTACGCCCCGAGTAATTTTTAGTGGGTCACTGAGATAGTCGTTTACCTTGACAATATGTGTTCTATTTGTCAAATAGTCAATTCTCCTTTCGTCTTGTGATAGCTACTTACAAACAGGTGAAATGTTCAGTAATAGCAAATGAGAACAAACATAAATTTTCAGAAAGACTGGTCCATGAATCCACCTTAAACAAACAACACTGAAATGTTGAGATGTTTAGAAAGAGGAAGTAGCAAGTTGCTTCACACTCTAAAAGGAGTGTCTAAAAAAACGAGGGCATCAGGCATTAAGAAATGTGAATGAACTAAAAAGTTATCATCATTTCAACCTTGAGCCATTCTGATACTGAACATCCCACATGTTCAGAATGGAACATTCAGAAATAATCAAGTAAATAAAACTCATATTTCCAATTAAAAATCGAATCAGCTTCCTCTGCTTATCTATATTTGATAAAATACAATGACTAGTGATTGAGAGAACAAAAACAATCAATGGAAAACTACCAGGACTTAGTACAGTCAACCAAACAATTATTCCTTTTAAATCACCATCGTGAATCACAAGAACTGTTTGGGAAACTTTCTGAACTTTGTGTACGTGCTATACTGCACGAAAAAAAATGCATAAATTTGAACCGAGTAAGACAGGGAGTACCTTGTGAAGAAAAACACGTTGATATTATTTATTTACGAATCCGATCTGTCCCGATTGCAACCTCTGGTATGACCTTACCACGTATGCGGAAAACTTGACAACAGAACAATGAGAAACTTTTAGAAACTAATTTTAGACTGATTTGGTGAAATACGATTCCAATACTTACGAATTACTACTCATTATAGCGGGCATAGCTTCGTCACCTTGATTACCGTCTATACTAGATTCGGATTGAACAGCTTCAGAAACACTAATCAACATAATTAAAACGAACAGAGCTGATTTCTTAAGTGCGCGTACGATTCCGCTTGTTTATCACAAATGACGAAATTTTACGGTTCATGGATCCTTATATCCATTCTTTCATAACTTTCCAGAAGATTGAGGCAACTGTCAATTGACAAAATCATGCGCAGTGTTCGACTCATTCGGGAGTATATTGCCGCAAGGTGGCGCTGGCATAGAAGCAAAACTAAAGGAAACCAAAGAATTGTTTCAGGTTATAGATCCTTATTACGTTTTTTGTGATTTTCATGTTTACTACACGTTGCTACTCATTCCGTGGTACTGGTACTCCTTATAAAAAAGTCTAGATATTATCTTCCTAGCACTATAACATCGGTTTAAACATTTTCTGATTTGGAACGATTGTTATGCCTGCTCGAAAACTTCATTCAATCAATGTAAGGAACAGATTTCCAACTCGTTAAAAGTAACCGTTGAATTGTACGCCTCTAATTCTTCACCGTTTTTATTCCATATTTCGAAAATAATTTATTGCGAGATATATTTCATTTACATAGAAGGTTTCTTAGTGAGAACTTTTATTTTAATTGGGCATATTACTATAGGCTCATTATTGATTTCATCAGATGATGTTTAAAATCATAAATATAACATTATCAGAGTACATAGTACGAAATGATAAGCAAATAATATAAAGAAAGGAAATATATGAAAAGAATATATGAAGTTCTACTATTAAAATTAATTCATGAAATATCACATTTTCTCAATCTGTATACTCTTTAAAAAAGGTGACATGTTCAAAGATATGCTTATCGTCATATAACTCTTGCGAACTAGCTTTTAGGATTTCTTTTGAAGCACATGTATTTTTCTATGTTGGCTACTCTGTCTAATGTCAAATGTCAGTTACAATTAACCTGCAGATGATGTTTGTATTGTTCAATTTTGGGTTTGATTTGTTGTTTAAAAGTCGTTTTCATTTCATTGAAATCAAGATTTTGTTTGAAGCAAATGTATTTTTTTATGAGTTGGCTACTCTGTGTATTTGTTATTGTTAGTTGAAGTTTAAATCGGCCAATTTTTGTTTCATTTGCTGTTTTCTTTGAATACATTTTTCACTAGTGAATTTAATAGTTAACTGAGGTAATGGCGTGAACAATTGAAATGACAATTGACAATAATGAAAAATAAACAGAATAGCCAACTCAGAAAAACTATGTGTTCGAAATTTTGATGTATTTGACTTATAGAAGCGAAATTATTAGAAAAACTATTGAATAAAAGATTTAATTCATTGATACACTTTATTAATTTTTGTACAATAAAATCAACTATATAAAATATCAGTATGTATTTATAGCATGTAAAGATTTTCAAAGTTAATATGTAAATATGGTAAAAATATATCGTCTAGAAACTTTAGTAACATTAATATAAATGTTTTATATAACAGAAAGGCAACAATGCTTGTCAAATAGTTTTAAGCACCTACGCTATATTACAAGAATAAATATTTTCCAAATATTTAATAAGCATTCCAAACGGAATACCGATCGAATTATTTACAAAACCAACAACTACAACATATGAACATGTTATGAAGCACATAGGTTTACCAGTCGAAATATTTGAAGGAGTTAAAATATTAGCCACTTCCTCATAATTTTTGATTATATGCGCAAAATGGTATCTAACGGGAAATTGGTAGCACTGAGTTGACAAATTAGGCGAGTTCCCAAATTGAAGAGAAAACTTTTGATGGATTGCTTCAACCAATCGAAACACGAATGGACCAATAGATGAATGGCAAGCAACAATGTCAAATAATAAGATTCATATTTTCTTTACATTACAAATACAAAATACATCAAGAATAGGTAATGCAATTTTTCATCAGTATTCACATCGGAATTTGGAAGGAATGAAGCCGAAACCTTCAGCTTGTAGGTACTCAGAATATTATCTAGTAATAGTAATATTGAATAAATGTAAAAATACATGCTTTTACTATCAATCAAGGCATCAAATCAGTGTTACAAATTCTCCAAACTACTCGCCACTTATCTAACTAAAATCTCTTGACTGTATTACCCTGCCAGCCATGGCTGCGAAAGAGAAGAAGAAATCACCTAGTGCCAAATCAGTACTACCAACATTCTCCGAACTAACCGCCTTTTCCCTAACTTTGACAGCAATTAATTGACAGTTTCCCGCAAGGCGAATAACCACAGAGGCCGCCACCGTTACGACCACCCTCCGGTCAATTTGTGGAAGAGCTCCTCGTTGAGCGTCTGGTTGGCATCCTTGGAGCGCATCGACAAGAATATATACCCACCGATGAACTCGTGGACGACTTTGCAGTCAGCAGAGACGCAGCTAAAGATGATGTCGTCTCCCTCGAACTGCACCATCATGTGTTTGTGCTCCCAGTTGACGTTCCACGCCTTCATAGTGTTGAACCGCCACGTCTTCTGGTGATCGCCCGAGCTGATGTCCATCCGCATAAGACGGTTATAGCCGACGCCTAGAAGTTCTTCTTTCCTTGAAGTCTGGAATTTGACGACGAAGAGCGTCACGCCGAAGTCGGGCAGCAGCTGCCACGCCTTGATGTAGCTCATCTTCGCGTCGATCAGGTTGAGGTCCTTGACGTTAGCATGAGCTTCGAGGATTCTTTGAGTCAACTGAAAGTTGATAAACGTATTTATTTGAAAGCATGAAGTAGTATTACAAACTTTTCTCAGTATCTTGAGAAATTTAAGGTGACAATCGAAGATTTGTACACGATTTCAGATATGGTCGTATCAATTTTCGCATCCTAATCTAAATCGCACAATTTGAAAAAATCATATTTTCCATCAACGAAGAACTGAGTTTAATCAACTCATCAATTATTGTTTGTAGTTGGTTGTCATTGAATTACTTTAAGAAGAATAACTACTTCTTTGTGGACTTCTAAATCTTTACCTTGAAATTTTTGGGACTAGGACAATGGCAATAATGTGAATGTCCTTAAAGAAGCACTCTTCAACTAATACACGCGTCTTTTCTTTTCAACATGGCGTCAAATCAGTGTTAATTATCCTTTTATCTAATCGCCACTACTCCAGCCAAAGTCTCTTGACTGTACAACCCTGTCAGCCATGGCTGCGAAAGAGAAGAAGAAGAAATCAGCTGGCGCCAAATCAATACTACCAACATTATCCGAACTAACCGCCTTTGACAGCAATCAATTGAGTTTTCCCCAAGGCGAAAAAACCACAGAGGCCGCCACCATCACGACCAGCCTCTGGTCAATTTGTGAAAGAGTTTTTCGTTGAGCGTCTGGTTGGCGTCCATGGACCTTATCGACCAGAATATATATGTTTGAGTTACAGAAAAGTTTATATGTTGATCTTCATGAAGGAGTGTATCTTTAAAAATATTTCACGGCAACTCCACAAAAAAATATAATAATACACCAAGTCCCTACTTGGCTAAATGGTGGTTAAAAATGAAATAATGAAAGAAAATAGGGAAAACAACCTATGTTGTTCCATATTTATACAAATCGATTATAAATTACATCACATCTATGAGATACAAAAAAAAATCGGTAGGCACTTGAATTATCGCCTCCCGTTGGGCGCCAATTTTGAGTTCTATATCAAAACATGAAATACTAACCGACTACCTCGTCATTCGAACATTCTGTAGTGAAAGTAACGTAAATCAATACACTGTCTTCAATTATGATTTGACTAACCTTTCCTTTGGACTTTTTCAAGTATTTCGGGGCAATGTAATCCTCAATCTGTATATCCAAGGTGTTGGGATTTAAAACAGGCTGTTCTGAAGGCCTTTGTAGATTCAAAAAGTCCAAAATAGTCTTCTTCTCCGTTTCATACGAACTGTCTGCAAGTGATCTTCCTTTAGACGCCAATCTACAACACGCCATCCACTGGGCATACTGGGTTTCCTAAAAAAACACAGGAAAACATATTTCAAAGTGAACACGATAATTTAGATAGAGAGTCATACTCACGTTATCACATCTTATATACATTTCCGACATTCCATCTGAACTTGGAACCTCCAGCTTGATGACGTATTTATTCTGAGTGATGTTGACGTCTGGGGTGACTTCGCACCCCTTTAGGTTTATGCTTTGGATGGCGTTTTGGGCGTCCATCATTTCACCCTTGCTTTTATACATATACAAATGTAGATCCCGGCAGGTGAACCAGTACTTTTTGTAAGCTTTCATCGTGAACCTCTTTGGCCTGAAATATGATAACAAGAATTTACAGAAAGTCTTAGGAAAATGTTGAACATTTTGGTTAGAATGTTAGGTTCTCAAATGAAGATGTTTACTTTAGAATGTCAATTTGATTACTCCTTTTAAATCAGAAAATTTAAATATTTCATAATTTATTTCAAGATTGAACTGAGAATGTACATATTTTTCCTTTGTATTTGTATTATTGCATTACATGGAATATTTTTTGATTTGTTGAAATATTTACTACTGAATGAAGTACTTTTTTATTATTAATCACAATACTTTGTTGATACAAGAGTATTTTAGTAAAAAGAATACCTTATTTCTTCATAACCGTATTACATTTCAATAATTTTACAAAACTTTTCAAATTTGAAGCCCAAAGAATTTATCGATGTAACTTCTAATATTTTTAAAATTCTCCACATTGTTAAAAATAGTACTTTAAGTTGAAGTTGTATTAAATAACTAAAAATATAGTAGTTTCATAGTGGAAACTTTTATTTGACTACTTTTTAATGAATGTAGTTTAATAAATTTTAGAATAAAACATACTCCACGATTCAACATTTTTTTCCAGCTTTTGTATTGGAAATACTTTTTGAAAGTACATTTACAATACATTAACAATGAAGTACATTCAGAAACTGAGGCACTTTTAATTGTCTTGAGTCCCTTTTCAAGTAGCTAGTAAATGATCCGAAAGTACATCTTCATCACTTGAAAATACATCACATTCTCATGGAATTGAAGTAGTTTTGAAAAGTTTCTTTAAAATACATTAAATGGCGCACTTTTTACTGTTTGGAGTATTTTTGCAAGTAGCTAGTAAATGATCCAAAAATACTGTATCACTTGAAAATACATCACATTTTTTGGACTCAAAATACTTTTTGAAAGTACCTTTACAATAGATTAATTCTCATGTTGCTAGTGAATGATCCAAAAATACTTCTTCATCACTTAGAAATACATCACATTTTTTGGAGTCAAAGTACACTTTGAAAGTACCTTTACAGTACATTAACTTTCAAGTAGCCGGTAAAGATACAAAAACACTTCTTCATCACTTGGAAATACATCATCATCTTTGGACTAAAAGTACTTTTTGAAAGTACCTTTATAATAGATAAACTCTCATGTTGCTAGTGAATGATCCAAAAATACTTCTTTATCACTTAGAAATACATCACACTTTTTGGAGTCAAAGTACCTTTTGAAAGTACCTTTACAGTACATTAACTTTCAAGTAGACGATAAAGATCCAAAAACACTTTATTATCACTTGGAAATACATCACATTGTTATGGAATTGAAGTAGTTTCAAAGAGTTTCTTTACAATACATTAAATGGCGCACTTTTTACTGTTTGGAGTAGTTTTGCAAGTAACTAGTAAATAGTCCAAAAATACTTTATCACTTGAAAATACATCACATTTTTTGGACTCAAAATACTTTTGAAAGTACCTTTATAATAGATTAATTCTCATGTTGCTAGTGAATGATCCAAAAATACTTCTTTATCACTTAGAAATACATCACATATTTTGGAGTCAAAGTACCTTTTGAAAGTACCTTTACAGTACATTAATTTTCAAGTAGCCGGTAAAGATACAAAAACACTTCTTCATCACTTGGAAATACATCATATTCTTAGGACTAAAAGTACTTTCTGAAAGTACTTTTACTTTCAAATACTGTCACAAACTGGCAAAGTACTAGCAAAGGTTACATTTAAATTCTTATGCAGAACTTTTCCGCCGAAATCTCTTGCTAATTTTTAATTAAGAGATCATTGATGCGTGACGCCAATTTGGCGTTGAAATAAAATACTACAGATACTAAATACAATGAAAGTGCTTTTGATATTTGGTATTAAATGAAATATGAACTACTCACTTCAAATACCGCAGTTGATCCTTGAGTTCTGGAACTTGGGTGATGTTGTTTGAAAACGTACTGATGCTGGAGCCCTCCAGGGTGGTTTGGAGGTTATTGAGGGCGGCATCGATGTCATCTTCGATTGGTGAAGGCGAACTACCTTCGCTTTCCGTAGAAGGCTGAGGCTGACTAGCCTGCAACTTGACTTGCAACTGAAACATTGACGAGACATCAAACATCCATTATAAAAGTACCAAATACCTCAAATTCATTTGCAAAGTACTTTAAAATACTTCAAGTAGTTTCAGTACTCGCAAAAACTTTAGTTGAAATAGATATTTGTTACTGGAAGTTTGAATATTTATGAAAAAGTACTGAGTCAACTCTAACCTGCAAAGCAGCGAACATAAGCATTTCCTCTTCCGTGCAGTCGATTTCTTCATTAAGCAACTGCCACTTGGCTTGCTCGTAGATCTGGTTGATGCGGATGGCGTCGTACTTAGGATTGAGATCGTAGAAGGCATAGAATTTGAACTTGAGGCACAGCATGTCGTGGTCTCTGATTCCTTGTTCCATAATCGACAAAGAGGAGTCCAACCATCTGTAAAAAGGAAACGTTCTTGAGCATTGAAGGATTTAAATACTTTTCTGAAAGCTGTACTCACGCTACGTTCATTCTGGCTTTTTCGACCAGTGATTTTGGCCTGAGGAGGTGCCTTCTTGCTTCGGGACTAGGCGTAGAAGGACTCTGCGCCAAGGAGCTGTCGAAACTTCCATTCAGTTGTTCTAAACTCAAGCTGTTGGAAACGTTAGCGGAATAGTTCAAGGTGCCATTCATGTCGGCTCCGTAGCCATTTCTTTTCCAAGTTCCCTGGAATGGAAAAAATTGAGTTGAATGTATATTTTTTGTGCTGTTGAGAAACACACAGTTTTCACTCAGAAAACGAGACATTTCATGTGTTGATCTTACAGAAAGCTTTCCTTGTAGAAAGTCAGGTCTGTAACGGTGTATTTTGCTCTACATTTTATTAAATGAATATTCGAAATCAACCAGTGAATGTAGCTAACGCCATCTATTGATCAGAAGCTCAGTCAGAGGGTTTAATCGATATTAACTTAGCATGCCAAAAAATTGATACTCCTGGGAAAAAATCCTTACTATCTTTTTGTCATTGACCGATACTTGATGCTTGCTCAAGTTATTATTGGTTTAAAACGCTATATTCAGGAAATTAGAAATCTTCAAGCTATGTGAAAACTAGAAATATTGGCAGATGTCCAATCGACGTTTAAAACCAATCGTTCCAGACTTTGTTTGAGAGATGGTGGATAATAAGTTTATTTTGGAAATGAAGTATAGAAACAAAATGTCTGGTCACTACCCAAATAAACAAAAGTGCAAAAATAACGCTTTGAAATACTCGTAAGTGCAGTCTTCGACTAAATGTTTGAAATTCTTCCAAGTTTCAAAATAGATATTCACTCAATGTTTCAAGCACTGAGACAATCTGATATTGAGTACATTTATCTCTATAGCCCAGATCAGCAATAAAAAATGAATGAGAGTCTTTCCTTGATGTTCTAATTAAACGATTACGGGAATAGTTTCAATCCACTTTTCAAAAAGATCATAGACCACAGACACGTTTCAAATTTTGAGGTACAAAAATAGGAGAGAGAGAGAGAGAGAGAGAAAAGGCAGAGGGTAAAAGATGAGAGATCAGGGGAAAGGGAAAGAGAGAAAAAGAGGGATAGGGATGAGAGGAATAACGAGACAATAAATAAGAGACATATTGAAGAGCAGAGAGAGAAAATACAGAAGATATAGCAAAAAAATGTAGAGGAGCGATAAGAGAGCAGGGGAAAGGAAAAGAGAGAAAAAGGGGGAAAGGGACGAGAGGAATAACGAGACAATAAGTAAGAGATACTAATGAGACATAAGGTAGAAGGATGAGAGAGTGCGAAAAATAAGAGACTTATTGAAGAGAAAAGAATAGAGAAAAAATGGAAAAGGGATGAGAGGAATAACGGAGACAATGAATAAGATATACTAATGAGACATAAGGTAGAACGATGAGAGAGCGCGGAAAATAAGAGAGATAAAATACAGAAGATATAGCAAAAAAATGTAGAGGAGCGATAAGAGAGCAGGAGAAAGGAAAAGATAGAAAAAGGGGGAAAGTGATGAGAGGAATAACGAGACAATAAGTAAGAGATACTAATGAGACATAAGGTAGAAGGATGAGAGAGCGCGAAAAATAAGAGACTTATTGAAGAGAAAAGAAGAGAGAAAAAATGGAAAAGGGATGAGAGGAATAACGAGACAATGAATAAGAGATACTAATGAGACATAAGGTAGAACGATGAGAGAGCGTGGAAAATAAGAAACGTATTGAAGAGTGGAGATATAAAATACAGAAGATATAGCAAAAAAATGTAGAGGAGCGATAAGAGAGCAGGGGAAAGGAAAAGAGAGAAAAAGGGGGAAAGGAATGAGAGGAATAACGAGACAATGAATAAGAGATACTAATGAGAGATAAAGTGGAAGGATGAGAGAGAGCGAAAAATAAGAGACGCATTGAAGAGTGGAGAGAGAAAATACAGAAGATATAGCAGAAAAATTGAGTGGAGCGATAAGATAGAAGGAAAAGATAAGAAAGAGACGAGTGAAAGAAGAAAGAGAGAGGAGAGGAATTGAAAGATGTAGAGAAGACAGATAGGGCTTGGAAAAGTAACGGATGAAAGTTGAGAATGGCGAAATATAATGAAGGATGGGTAGAGACACTACTTCTTTAATAATGCTGCATTTGGTATAGTTTTTATCGCTCCTGTTATTTCCGAAAAAGTATGCGTTTGTACCATGCCATTTGTATTATCTTTGGCTACATGGAGTGAAGCAGTGTTATATTTTGACAATTCTGAGTGGTACACCTGACGACATCCTGAGTAACAATACTGATTACTAATTATACTTTATCTGTCTTCTTAACCTCGTTCCGGCCCCACGTTGGGTGCCGCAATAAAATATATAAATGGATCATCGCCAAATGTTCATTAAAAGAGGGGTGGGGTGTTATTTATGGTTATGATATCAGATATAAAATGAAAGGGGTATATTACCATACATATGTCATCTACATATATCTAAAATAAATATTGCGAAAACTCGCCAAAAATCGCCATAAATTCTTTTTTGTAACTATAACCATGTGTCATAGTTCAATATATTCTATAGTGATCAAAATTGCATATGATATGCTTGCGTATATTGTGGTATTTCAAAATTTCGCATTTGTACAGTACGCGCCTACTAAGATGAGTCAGCGCAGAAACGTAAAATCGTTCTGTGCTAAAGGACTCCGTCCACTTAAATCATATTTCGCCAATGTACTACTGACATCAGTTGGCGAGTTGGCCGTCATTTTTCATCTTTCATTGCCTGAACCACTGTGCATGCTGTTTTTGGCGAGTGCGTTGACTTGGGATGTGGGGGTTGAGCAAACCGGCGGGGCTACGTGGAAGCAGGCATCCGCTTGCTTCCACGTAGCCCCGCTGGATACGGGAATGACAGCTTGTGGTTGACAATGTTGTTGACAATGTGGTTGACAATGTAATACAAAGGAAGGTCTCGAAAAGGAACTAGACATCATCAAAAATTACCTTCAACGGAATTGTTGCTCCAAAGTGATGGTAGAACAGGCTTTAGCTAGAAGACAGCAAGATCTCCACAAGGAAGAGAAGCCGCCACAGCCAGTACTTGTACTTTCCTACATCAGAGGATTATCTTAGAGGATAAGAAGAATTGGTTCCAAGTACAATATCAGAACCTGCTTCAGAACTGGTAACACTATCCGTAGCAGCCTCACGAAAACCAGGCCACCAAACGAGGACTGCGATTCCAAGAATTGCATTTTCCGAATACCCTGCGAGTGAGGAGAATCATACATCGGTGAAACTAAAAGGCCATTGAAAGTTCGCATTGCTGAGCACAAGAAACACACACAGCGAGGAGAAACCAGTAAATCCGGAATAGCAGAGCATGTTTGGACTCATCAACATCAAGTGGGCTCAAGCTGAAATCATCCACAAAGAGGAACACTGGTTTAGGAGAAAATTCAAAGAAGCCGCGTATATGTTCTCCAACAACGCATTTAGTCGAGGTAGCATAGAGATACGTAACATATGGAAACCTCGTATCAAGCCAAAAACGACCAACTTCCGCCAAACGGTCATCTCTCGCTAAAACCAATGAAGCGGGGAGAGGGAAGAGGGGATAGGTGAAAGAACTCGAATGACCTATAAAGAGTCAGATCTCGGAGGAATAAGTCCACTTATCACCCGTAGACGATTTGACCTAACCTAACCTAACTGACATCAGTTTGTGTGACCAAGAGCTATCTTCTGGGGAGGGTACAATTTGGTTCCGAATGCGCATCAAAATCTCATCTTAGTCGGCGCGTACTATAGCTACTTTTGAGTCATTTCCAAGAAAATCAACAATCATTAAATCGGGTAATCGTGCGGTTCACTTCGTCTAATCTCAAATGATATGAATACTCACATTTCCGGCTGGGCTGCTGATGGGCGTGGAACTGGGCGGCCCCCTCGCCGGCGTGATGGGGGCGCATGTGAAGGGCGATTTGTCCAAGCTGCCAGTACTGCCGGCGGGGCTACTGTTCGCGATGAAGGTGTTCGTGTCGACGGGCACGTAGCCACCGCCGTTTTTCTGTCCGACGTGCTGCTCAGGCTTCTTCTTCGGCATGTCCTTGTAGTTGTACTTGAGATGGTTGTACTCGAGTGGCTTGCAGAGCGACAACTCTTCGGGGTGGCGGATGCCTAGATCTTTGCACAGCTGAGTTACGGCGGAGAAAGTTTTCACCGAGAAATCCACCCTCATGTCGATGTACCTGTGGAATTCGGTACAGTTTACTCATTCACTAGACCAAATTTAACTCTTTATTGTATAAAGTGCGGTCCTTTTGACTTCCAGACGAGAAAAGATGTCGACGGAGATATTATTTTTAGTATCGTTACATAATGAAAAGATTATGAAAGTTGAAAATGCCCAAAGAAGCTCCATCAAAATTTCTATTTCCTCCAGAAATTTGGAAAAAAATTAATAGTATCAACTTATAGAGTATAAAATTCTCTATCGATCAGTATATACCACAATACAGTAAAATGAATATTTATCGAGATTTGGAGCTACAAAAACCAATGACATTAAACCGGACAAAACTTCTACTCTGTATTATTCTTACCTGAGATCGGGCAGTTGTAACCTGAGGGTTTTGTGCATGGGGGTGAAATAAAGAAGGGCGTCTGCATGGACACCGCATTGGTCAAGAGTGGAACGTGTCCTGGTCAGCCAAATGTTCTGCATGGGCCACCAGAGCGCATGGTCTGACCAATCCATAGATATTTCTGCAAAAAAAAACAAATTAATTGCATATGAGCTCAAGCTGATAGTCTAGTTGTCAATAATGTATTTTTTCCTTGTACTTGTACTTATTGAGTTGTATTTGTGAATATTCCATCATGTTCCAGCTCCCTTCAACAAATATTAGTACAACCTAAAGACGAGATGTTGAAAGGTACGTCGAGAAGAGTATTACAATTCTGGTGATTGGGAAAATTACTTGGTATAGATTCCATCGTGTTCATGATCTATTTGATCTCTGTATAAATAGGCACCTTTTCATGTACTCAAATTTCAGCTTGAATTATGAGACAAATATTTATGTTAGTCCTAATGTGTGTATCAATTAAGTTTTATTAATAAACGAGAATCCTTGAAATTCAAATCAAATTCTTCAGGTGTTTACACTGAACAAAATATATGAATTTAACAAGGAAATGTATCATTTGAAATTTCTGGTCCATTCATTTCCAATACCATCTATTTTCAATTTCTTTTGCCAAAGATTTACCTATATTAATATTTTTTCAAACGTTTATGTTCTTGTTAAATTCCTTAGGAAAATTGTAAAACATAAATTTGCATATATTGTTACGTAATGTAGATGTAAATTGTAGTCTTGTTATCAGTTATATTTGCTCAGGCAATCGGTGTGGTATATGAACTAACAAAATATAATCTAACAGTGGAGAATGTGTTTAACGTAATAAGTGAATTGTACTATAAAACCAATATCAATGACTTCAACACATTAGTCGCCCAAATCGAATGATTTTTCGGCCTTCAGGTCGCTGCATTTTATTACACGGTTTATTTGTTATGGTCTAATTTTATTAAAAATCGTCACTGAAATATTTACTACTTATTTTTCACCCCAAAAACATTTTGAATTTGAGACTCGTCATTAATCTCACGCGGCCTACGTTGCTGTGTGTCTGACCAACGTACAAGGAAACTTTGGCAAAAAAAATCGTATGCGGAACCCCAAGAAATTATAAATAACACACATGATAAAACAATTTTCACTCTATCAACTTCTGGAATTGGCTTTCTTGAGTTTACAAGTTGTTTTGTGTTCTCAAATTCTCAGTCCGCAGACTCATCAGTATTCCGATGTGGATAGTGTCCAAAAGTTTATATAGGAAGAACATCTAGACATTTCAAAGCAAGAACTTCAGAACACAAAAGGCGTGCCCCGTTTTGGAGAACAACCACATTTTGAACACGAAGTGTAGAATATTATATAACGAAAACAAAGGTCAAGAATTGAACCTGCTAGAATTCCTAGAAATCAATAAACAAAGATGATCAACCGACCAACAAGAATGTAACCACCCGCTCTCAATGAACTCATTATCCTAAAATTCTTGTAATCCAACCTTCCGCAATGCGCAACAGAACTATTCAGTACGGCTCGTACGTATTCGGTACGGCTGTATTTAGTACGTATAAGTATAAAATGATCCTTTATTCTGAAGAAATTTATAGGTTTTTCTTAAAACCGGTCTATTCTTATTCAACTTTCCACAACGCCCTGTATTCAATATGGCACGTACCCCTATTTAATACGGCTGTATTCGGTACGCCTGTATTTAGCATTGCTGTATTCAGTACGACCCGTAAGTATATAATCCATTTTTCTGAAGAACTTTTTTGGAGCTATGGCAGTGTGTTTAATTTTAACCTTATGGTTGTTCTAACAATCGACCTGTTTTTATCCAGCCTTTCGCAACGCCCTATATTCAGTACAGCCCGCACGTATTAAGTACAGCTATATTCAGCATTGCTGTATCTACTACGCCTATATACAGTACGGCTCGTGCTTATATAAAATGTTCAATTTTGTTGAAAAAATTTCATGAAGATATGAAAGTGAGTTCTGTTCTTATCCACTGTAATCAGTACGACACGTACATATTCAGTACGGCTGTATTCAGTAAGCTTATTCAGTACACCTGCATTTGGTATGGTCCGTACGTATAAAATGTGTTTCATTTTTTTACTAAAGACATTTTATAGAGAGATGAGAATGGGTTCCATTTTAACAGTATGACATTTTATGGAGAGATGACAGTGGGTTCCATTTTAACAGTATGGCTGTTCGAACATTGGTCTGTTCTTATCCAACCTTCAGAACGGTCCGTACGTATTCAGTACGCCTTTTCAGTACGGTTGTATTCAGTATGGCTGTATTCAGTTCACATGCATATAAAATGATCCACTTTTTTTAAAGAAATTTCTTGGTTGTTCTGATAACTGGTCTGTTTTTATCCAACCTTCTGCAAAGCCCTGTACTCAGTACGACCCGTACGTATTCGGTACGGCTCTATACATTACGGCTGTAACTAGTACGCCTATTCAGTATGCCTGTATTCAGCTCGTATGAACGTATATAAAATGATCCATTTTTATGAGGAAATTCTTTGGTTGTTCTAACAACCAACCTTCCACAACGCCCTATATTCAGTACGGCCCGTACGTCTATTCGGCACAGCCCGTACGCCTAATCAGTACGGACCGTACGCTTAATTAGTACGGACCGTACGCCTATTCAGTACGGCCCGTACGCCTATTCAGCACGACTGTGTTCAGTGAGCCTATTCAGTACATTTGTGTTCAGTACGGTCCGTATGTCTATACAGTACGGTCCGTACCCCTATTCAGCACGGATGCATTCAGTGAGCCTATTTAGTACGCCTGTATTCAGTATCGTCCGTAAGTTTATGAAATGATTCATTTTTCTAAAAAAAATTCATGGAGATATGACAGTGGGTTCCATTTTACCAGTATGGTTGTTCCAACAACCGCCCTGTTTTTAACCCAACCTTCTACAACGCCCTATATTCAGTACGGCCCGTACGTCTATTCAGTACAGCCCGTACGCCTAATCAGCACGACTGTGTTCAGTGAGCCTATTCAGTACATTTGTGTTCAGTACGGTCCGTATGTCTATACAGTTCGGCCCGTATGACTATACAGTACGGTCCGTACCCCCTTTTCAGTACGGCTATTCAGCACGGCTGTATTCAGTGAGCTTATTTAGTACGCCTGTATTCAGTATGGTCCGTAAGTTTATGAAATGATTAATTTTTCTAAAAAAAATCGTGGAGATATGACAGTGGGTTCCATTTTACCAGTATGGTTGTTCCAACAACCACCCTGTTTTTAACTCAACCTTCCGCAACGCCCTGTATTCAGTACGGCCTGTGGATAAATTCAAAGAAAAGTACAGCGTCTCCCGAATATCGAGAAATTACCATAAAGCACCATCATTATAATAATAAGGCTGTCGTTGTGTTGTTTGTTAAGGGGAAAAGATCCAACACCTATTTATCATTTCGACGGATATCCGGTGATTTTTTTCAACTCGCATTACTACTCAGGCGTCTTTCTGGCGATCTGATGACACTCATCAACCGCTGGTTTCCTGGGTGATAACGCTAGTATTGGACAATCGGACGATAATACATTTTTCTTGGTGATTTTGTAATGCGTATTTGCTTTGACGAGTCCGAGGCCTTCTTTATCGTTTGAATTAATCATGAGGAACTAGAATGCCGTGGAATATTCTGAGAATGGATGAAACATCAAATATACATGCTACTATTGGATCTTTCTGGTGATATCATCTTCCACAACCTAAAAAATTGAAATTGTAATGGATAACTTCATACGAGTGTAGGAGGACAAACTTTTCGAACACTCCGATAAGATACTGAGTGAAAAATACATTGAATTTATGCAGTAACTTACCGGGTGAACTAAACTTTCATCTTTTCTTCATCTATATAAAGTTCTCCAATAAAATTATCTTTTTTTTAGATTGTGCTGGGTGAGAATTACCAAAAAGATCTGTAAAACAATACTACTATAACATTCAGTTTTTTTAATATATTTAATATTACATTAATTTTCATTCTTGTCATGAATTTCAATCTGTCAACACCTTGTAGACAATGGAAATTTGAACTTCTAACATTGATAGATAGATAGATAGACATATACTTTATCTGGTATGTAAGCACTTCAGAGAAAAAAAGAAAAGAAACAATTCAAAAACACATAGTCCCTTTCAAAAATGTAATAAACAAATACACACAATTTGAACATAAGTTCACATGCCTGGGCAATAAAATAAGATATATTCCAGTATAAAATATAATTTAAAGTGTAGGTGTCAATTTAAACAACAAAAAAAAAACAACAAAAACTATATTGAATCACAGCAAAGTTCCATTGTAATATTCATCAAGATTGTTGTACGATTTTGTTGCAAGGGCATCTTTAACAAGATTTCTGAACTTCAAGGTATGTGATTATACAGCTTTTTACTTTCATAAATTAACGAATACTTCGTCTGACTTGTTTTTGGAACAGAAATATGTATTTAATTTCTGTTACTTGCGGGGTTATGCAATTTATATGTTCCGGAGTTCCAACAATATTATGTTTTTTGTGAATATGAAATATGTTGATCAAATTTCAATTCGTTATCCATGAAGATTCCCAGGAATTTAGATTGGTTTTTATTCTCAAGAATTTGTCCATTCAAGTATGAATTGTTAATATTACAGCTGAAGGTAAGTAGGTTTGTTTTTCAATATTAAAGCACAAGTAGTTTGCGTCTCACCATTTTTTCACAACTGCTACAGATAGTTTCTTTCATATTAGAAGTATTTTTCCATGCCAAAGGGGCGTGGTATCATCCGCAACGATCGTAAAAATTCCTTGAATTCCTTGAAAGGTCATTTACATTAATAAGGAAAATAATCGAGCCCAGTACTGATCCTTGTGGAACGCCCCATAAGATATCCTAAGTGTGTGATAGTTTTTCGTTTGATCTTACTGTTTTTTGTCACACCGAAACAAAATCCGAGAATAGTTCTGAAACTTCTATCCATACGAGTTTTGTTGGAAAAATAAGGTGGATTTTTTTCGATTTTTGTTACAGAAGACTCAGTAAATTATCTTACTGAACATCTGGAAAAGAGATACAGGACATTTC